AGCGGATCAAGATCAGGGGTGCAAAAAATAGATTTCTACAGATTTGCTTATACAACCATTATTTATACACTGATTTCTTTTCATCTTTGGATGGAACATGCTTTGGATAATTCACAAGGTCATGGTCATTAATACTAACAATATAATTTCTAAACCTTTGCTATACAACTTTTTTCATCAATGTCTTATAATTACCAGGAACATACTTTAGGTATTAAGTTTTGATGGAGTCTTGGTCACTGGGTTCAAGGTCAAAAAGGTCAAATATATATAATTATTCATATTTATTTTAACTTATTATTTTTATTTTTTTAACTTGTGCATAATTCATTGTAATGATATGCCAAATATTTTTCACAATTACAAAACGCCATGACTTTGTCAAATTAAACAACTGTGTTTAAAATTTTTGGACATTTTTTTGTCCATGAATGAGTGAATTGGTAAGCCTTTTTTCAAAAACTGTTACTGACAAAAATTTGAGGCGGGGGATTTATGTTTAACAAATACATCCTTGTTTTTTATTTTTTGTTTAGCTGGCCTTATTGATAATATTTTTTAATGAAATGTCCATATTACTCAATTTTAAGCCTAGTTTACAATTCTTTTGTTAAGTCATTCACAATAAAGTAAAAATACCTGAATATTCAAAAGTGAATATGTTTATAGCTTGACATCAGCTTGCTTAAAGCTGCACGCCTCTAGATGAGCAAAAATATTTCGATAAAATCAAATCCTTAGAAAAATGTTTATATAGAAAATTAGCATGAATCTGGGGGTGTGCTGCTTTAAGATTTCATGATTTGCTGCAATACAACAGAGTACCACGACTAGAGTGTTGAAGCTAAAGTCTTGAAAGGTTGCTGATTTCTTTATTAATCGTTTTATAAAATTATTCCATCTCAATGCAATGGAGAGAATTGAAACATTTTGATTTGATGCTGACACAAACAGGTTTGTTCCGTTTTTATTTATTTCCCATTCTTTCCGTTGCATATTTTTATGTTCCGTTGTAAGATTTAATGTATAAGAAAGCTGATCAATTTACATTTTATCAGTTTTCTTTCTAAATCTTATCTCAGCTCATAATTTTATTAGAAATATTTCAATTCGAAAATTTAAATATGTTCTTTCTAATTCTGATATGACACTAAAGCAAAAGATTGTTCTACTGTTGACTGGAATTGATACATTTCGTAGGAGGTTTCAAATTGCATTTTAATTTGTTTGGGTCTTCAAACCAAACAAATAATGGTAGTGAAATTTCAGACCCTGATATGCTTATTTGCAAAATCCGCAAGTAGTCCGCCACGAACTCTTCGAAGCGGTTACTTCTCTTTATAAGTAAAATAACGCCGAAAAATTAAGGGGAGATCACTGCGTAAAGATTGTCAAATGAGAAGCGCATTAATTTTCAAACCTCAGGGAAGAACAAATATCCCCCTGATTGGTCGAAAATTTCTAATATTGTGAAATGCTTTAACATTTCCGCAAATTACCGGTAATATATTCAAATAATTTTGTCATGGGGATGAATATCATTTTAATCAATAAAAATTGCTCGGCTATTTCCGTAAAATTCCGGATAATTGTGATCGCCAAAATGAACATTTGTTATTTAGACTTTCTACTTTTTGCTAAATTATTTCACATGCTTATATCAAGCCCCATGATAATTTACATCAGTGTTAAACAACTGGTTTACCGTGAAAAAAATATCTCGAAATTAAAAAAGATTACTAACTCTAATTTAGAATAAAGTGGTTTGCTTCATGTTGTTTTTTGTATGTTCCCCGTGGTCCAGGGGTTTTACTTCACAACAGCAGGTGTCGAGTGCTGTGTTGCAGCTGTAAAAAGTTGCCCCGTACTACACTTCAGTGTTGTTATATTTTTCTGGTCCTTCGGGATCATTGATGCCAACACCATTAAGTGATGATAATTGAGTACCGCTCAAGCCGGTGCTAGGGGGCGTGAAGGATGTTGCACGTATTCATTATCCCTCATGTACAGATTCAATCAAACCGAGTCTGCAATTCTTATGTAATTTTGTGGTGATTATGCTTCCGAGGGATTTCTTTGTTTCCAGATTTTTACACACTTGTTTAGGAAGCGAGAGGTGTGGGGTTCATAGCCCAGTTAAAGCAAGTCATGTTTTTTGTTGTTTTTCTAAATTGTTTCAGCCAATTAAACATTGAATATCAGTGTTGTAATTAACCTTATAGCCAATTTACTACAGTTATAACACTGGAGACATCATTGCTGGCCCTTTACAAAATACAAATTGGTTTATGATCTCACAACCTTCACCTTTCTAACATTCTGAAACCCAAACAAATTCAGTGCATTCTGTGCTTTGATTTTATAAACGTGATTACTTTGCTTCCAATTGTTTAAAGCTGTGTATAAAATATACATCATATTGACAATCATTTTCGACTATTTACCTTTCAAAAAAGCTGATCAGTTCACATTTTATGAAAAAGGTGGCAATGCTACTAGCCAATTCAGTTGTTTTCAGAAATGAATGAATTAATCCTTGTATGTCGGTATAAAGGCAGAACAACAGACATTCCATGCTTTTCCTTCAAAAGCGAGAAAGGACTTTCGACAACAGATGTGTTACATGAGAACAATTCAAGTTTTAGGAATCTGTACACAGTACAAATATTTTCTAAAAGAAAATCTAAAGATTGAAAAGTTATTGATGAACAAATGGCTATGGATATGAACGTATATGAATTTAATAGAAAGCAAAAGGAGAGAAGCAAGCTTTTGATGAGAAAAACAAGTACATTTTACACGCGTGTACCGAGGAACAGACAGTACAAAATTTCACATGACTTTTATGATGTAAGGAATGGTTGGTACTTGTAGCGTTGTGAAAAGATAAATATGCTCAATTTTATTTGCTGTTATATGTTATACAGGAAGGCCAAGATGGCATCGTACTAATCCGAGCAATGATATATACAAGCATCCTGACCAAGTTTCACGATAGTCTAGTCAAAAATGTGACCACTAGAGTGTTAACAAGGTTTTTCAATATGTGGGCGTTGTGAACTAGTTTTTAACCCCAAGTGACCAGTATTCAAACTTGACCTAGAAATCATCAAAACAAACTTTTAGACCAATTCTTTTATCCGAGATGACCCATGTTCGAACTGATCCCAACAATTATCTAGAAAAGCATTCTGACCAAGTCTGATGACAATTGAGTCAGAAATGTGAGTTTACAAGGAGGATGACTTAGTTTTGGACCCCAGGTGACCCATATTTGAACTCGACCTAGAAATCATCAACAAACACTTTCAAACCAATTTCCAGGATATTTGGATCAAAAGAGTAGCCATTTAAGCCATTTTCTATTTTTAGCTCCTGTAACCTAGTTTTTCAACCGAGATGACCTATGTTCGAACTCACCCGAGTAATTACCTAGACAAGTATTTGACAAAGTTTAATGATGATTGAGACAAAAATGTGACCAATAGATTATTAACGAACAAGTATGGACGGACGACAGACGACGGACATTCAACGATCCTTAAAGGTCACCCTGAGCAAGCTGAGATGAGCTAAAAAAAATGAATTATTCTAGAAACGAATTTTGAAACAATCTTATCATGATCTTCAAATGAGAACTAATCGAAAAATTGTGATCAAATGCATTGTAAATATATTACAACGCCATTGTATAGAATGTTTTCTCAACACTCGCCAATCATTGTCTTTATTTTTGTGCAAACGTATTTTTGTTGTTGTTGTTTTTTCTTTTTTTGTTGTTGTTTTTTTTTTTCATTGAACCACGCGTTATCAATTGTGAAAAATAGCAGCGGTTTTTCTTTTTCTTTCAGATTTTTCTTATAGTAATATATTTATTAAAAAAAGTTGACATACAAACTATTGAATTAAATAACTTTGAAAAAGTATTTGTCACACACAAAATACGGGATGACTGTATAGGTGTAAAAAATAAAACTTTCTTAAATTTTTGCTTGTTGTATCACGCAAATGTTTCGACGAAACAAAATACTTTTAATGACATTTTGGGCATTAGTCGTGTCAAATTAATTCGGGAATATCCAAGAGAAACATTTGCAATATCGTTTTTTTAAATTTAAATAAGTGTCATATTGCTATTGCTTAGATATTTTTTGCATATCAGACTGGAGTTTCCGTTAGCTTTACCCATGCTGGAAATTTTATCTGGCCAGGGGGGTGCCAGTCCAGTTGCGCGCCATATAAAGACGTCATTTTAGCGCATTTTATGAGCGAACCGCGTTCAAATGACGTCATTTAGGCGCGTTTCAGAATGCATTTTTTCTTAAGATTACGACATACCCCGTAATAAAGAAAGTTGTATATTCATACATTTTTGTAAGAAAATAGTCACGGTTGGAATAAAACATTTATTTCCATAAACAAATATATCTCATTAAAGTAAACCATTTTATTTTGATAGAAATGGCAAAATATGCAAGAATAAATATCTGACATGTCATTGCGGTTCAGATCGGAATATTTATTCGTCCTTTGGGTGCCTTCGGCAAGCCTCGTTACTGCCCAATGTTTTAAGACATTTTTCGTACAAAGGAAAAATAAAAAAGATTGAAAATATATTCATGAAACAGGTTCTACAATAAAATAAATTCCAGGTGCGTGAAACTTTCAGTTTAATAGAAAAAATTTCAATTTCTGTACAATTTCAACGCCGGTAGTACGCAGTATCCAGAATCAAAATCGATTCAACGCAAAATACTGACAAGAAAGGGAAGACTTGTGTCAAGGCAAGTAGAAGTTAGGACATCTTCTTTGCAAAAGAAATTAAATTCAAATCTATTCCGATTGCTTCACATGACTCTTTTTTGTTCAAAGAACCGTTTGAAACGGTTGCGGTATCAGAATTTTGAGGATGCGCCCGCATAGTATGACCCCCTTGTATTTGGGAATACGAGTCGTGAAATTTGTGATTAAAATGGTTTAAAATGAAAACAACAACTTCATTAACTTTTCATCAAATTCCATTTGTTTTTGACGAGTTTCACATTTCTTATCCAAAAGGTGCAATTGTGTTGCATGTTTCTAGGAAAACCTTCATTGCATTGGAATATCTGAATATAATTGATATCGTATCTCTTAATGTTTACTCTTTAAGAATTTTAACAAACGTTTATCATATGTTATTAATTCCAGCTAACGTCATTGTATTGGGACTTGCTTATGTCTTTGCAATTTATGAAATTTTATAATACATGTATATGTGATTTTGCAAATTTAAAGCATAAAGTCCTTCAACTATCCGACTGAATAGTAAACAAATACTGATTCAAGAAAACATAATTAAAACATATACGAAAAAAAATTTAAGTAAGAAAAACATTTAAAGCATTGTTGTATAGGGAATTCCTCTATTTACCGTTTAATAAATGTTTCTGTATTTTGCTTTGCTATTTTTAAAACTTCTGTGAGTAACTGTGAAAAATACTTACACTTGGCAATTCCAAGAATAGACGCTATATGATTTCCCCTGAGATCTCCAAGCAGATTCAAAGTCACTGATTCTATGAGCACACGAAGTAGTTCCGGATGATTCATAGCGACGTTTTTGAACGCAACAAGAAAGTGTGCTACCATTGCAATCGCTCTCCCTCTGTAATTGAAATATATGAAGGATAAAAAATTTCCCCTTGTATAGTCAAATTACACTCGGAAATTTGATTTTTTCATCGTAAGTAAAAAGCAATAAATGGTCTGTTTAAAATCTTGGAATCTATGTCTTATCTAGCTGATGTTAAAATGGCCACCTTTGGTTCAAGTTTTATTATTGACAATGACAATAGATTTTATTTAGCATTAAACATTGTACAAATGTTTATAGCAACAAATGATGAAAACTCTCCAATACACATCCCATATATACAAATGGTGAGCATTAGTGCAAAGGTAAAAATAAGTTCCCTTCTTCCTTAACATTAGTAAATGAAATGCATTTTCAGTAAGCATTTAAGTATTTCTGGTACACAAAAAAAGTGATGAATACGTATGTATTTTGCCAAATTCAATGAAGTGCATATTAAGTAAGCATTGAAATATTTTTGGTACAAATAAAAAATAATCTAATACAATAATAAACTGTATATATAAAAGACCATTGAACAATTTGTCTCTTTAAGCTGGCCAAGTATATAATTTTCCAAACTCAATGAAACAATTCTTCAATAAACATGTATTTTTGGTACTAAATTATATATTGATTAAGAACAGTGTATTATACTTAAGGACAATGAAAACGCCCGCCCGCACTATATGCATTTTATTACATGAAAACAAAACACTAACGACTCCATTAGATATATATCATAACTTTAATACAAAACGCAAACTTAACAACCGAAAATAATTGAAAATGTTTGGAATCACATGTACACCAGTAAATCGAAGAACCTTAGGTGAAAATCTCAAAATCACACTTTTTCACCACAGTAATGCAAACTTTACAAAGGCAAAAACCAAAATGAAGATCAAAGTCACTCATAAATGTCTATGCGTAATGTCACCGTCGGGATCTTCAAAAATGACAATGTCCTCCATCAGCGTCTCTTACAGATGTACATCGTCGCCTCATAGACCTTACGGTGCGGATTGTCGCCTGTGGATCTATCGCCATTCGGCCTGTAGTGTAGTGCGAAAACGCTGGTGGGGCCGAGGAATTGTAGACCGATGGACACCAAAAAGGTTGGCGCTTTGTTAGATAGACCAGACTGAACTGTCTTAAATCTACCCAGCGGTTATTTCTTTGTAGAACCATTGCATACAATTTGCTTGCAAGTCTTCAGTAGTGTTTGAAATTTAGCACCTTTTATAAAGGAAAAGTGAGTATATTCAATTTCCATGTGAGCTTTACTATTTCTAAAACTGATCATTGGCATAGTTTAATATTCATTTTTTAAAGATTTTAAATGCTCATTTGTGTCTAACATTTCTAGACAGGTGTGAAAAAACACGTTTATAATCAACAGTTGTAAAAAATAAATAATTTAATTTCAAAAAGTAACCATGAATTGGTTCAATCTGTTTTCGGTTGCGATCTTATCACAATTAGCCAAATGTGTTACTTTTGATTTTTCGGCTAATGTCTTTATTATGCAATAACTTCATTAAAATGCAATCATTTTTCATAACTTTGGTATCTAAACGACCGGAATGCATTTGGTTTTATGAAAGTGTGAAAAATATTTAATAGAAATATATTTTCCTTGTTAAAATGCAATTATCCAGACCGTGCGTTTTCATTGTCCTTTAGTATATTATTGAATATAGTTATCATACGTGAAAATGAACTGATTAATGGTTTCAACGTATAATGTGAATTATTATTATCAATAATTCTTCTTATATATTGTAAAGGATATCGTGCCTGCTTTTTTTAAGTTTGTCGTTAGACGTCTTTTGTTAAGATATGCTGGTTTCATAAACTCTGATCTCCTTTTAAGATTCTATTTTGTTTAGTTCCACCCATTGTTTTCTCGTTTAGTGCACAGACTGTCTTTTACTTTGGGACCATTGAATGGCACGGAGAAAAATAGAGAGAAAAAGAATCCCTAAAGGTCCTGTAAAATGACAAAACTGAAAATATTGCAGGTTCGCTTTGATTGAGTCTGTTCACGGACGGTACTAAAAAGTGCAAGTTACCATCAACATTTCCACCGAGCCTCGACTTCAGCAGAATTCAATATTGAATCATAGTAATGGATTGATTTTGAATTTTGAAACATCCGCAGATGTGTTCATACACATAGCCGGTGCTAGGGGGCGTGAGGGATGTTGCACGTATTCATTATCCCTCATGTACAGTCTCAATCAAACAGAGTCTGCTATTCTCTTGTAATTTTGTTGTGATTAATGCTTCCGAGGGATCACTTTGTTTCCAGATTTTCATACGGCGGTTTTCATGAAACATTCAATGTGACACTATATTGCCTTTCAATGAAAAGCGGCATATGGTTCCCAAATGAAGGAATATGTGTGTCCGAAACGAGAAACCAATGGGCGGAACTAAATTAAATGGAATTTTGAGAGGGGATCAGAGGTTAAGAAGTCTGCATATCACAAATAAGCTGTAAAAGAAAATTGAAAAAGCAGGTAACATATTTTAATGGAGATTAAACTGTATTCAAGTAGGAATATTGGATCCACCCAACTTGAAAAATGTCGAATAGAAAGAACTTAAAGTACAAAAAAAATGTCAAAAATAAAGTCGCATTGAAGACTCCGTTTCCTTGTCGGTTTCTATTATTTTCAATTTTAATATTATTCTATTTAAATAATGATCATGTCCGTGCTTCGCTTTGTACCGTGTCCTGTTTTGTTTGGAATCCTGCTGGGCTCCTTGTCGGTGGCATTGATGAGTCGTGTTCGGGTTGCGTTCATTGAACGTGGCCCTTCTTTGTTTATCGTATTAACCTTGTTTTCAACGAAAACCGGGTTATTATAATGCCAAAGTCGGCGGACGGGCGTCAACTTATGGTTTCCGCTCACTACCTCGAGTTTGCTTTGGCCTATTGATACCAAGTCTAAGGGTAGCTTATATCAAGAGGCAGCTTTGGATTGCTACTCAGGTATTTGTGATCAAGGTCTATGTCACTGTTGCTGATAATAGAAGTTCATGTACCGTTCAATAACTAAATTCTGCTGAGGCCTTTTGTTACCAAACTTAGTGTATGGGTAGCCTTTATCAAGAGGCAGCTTTGGATTGCTTCCTAGGTGTCTGTGATCAAGTTCAAGGTCACTGTTGCTAAAAATAAAAATTTAGTTTCTGCTCAATTACATGAGTTTTCTTTGGCCTATTGACACCAAACTAGGTGTATGGGTAGCTTATATAAAGAGGCAGATTGGGATTGCAATCAGATGTCTTTGATCAAGATCAAAGTCACTGTTGCTAAAAAAACAAGAATAAAGATCAACAAGGCAAAGGCAACGTTCACAGGTTACTGTTGCTTAAAAATAGAAAAATCTGGAAACAAAGTTATCCCTTGGAAGCATTTATCACAACAAAATTACATAAGAATTGCAGACTCGGTTTTCAGTTTAGAAATTCAGTTCCTGCTCAATAACTTGAATTTGCTTAGGCCTATTGACACCAAACGTGGTGTATGGGTAGATTATATCAAGACATTACTTTGTATTATTACCCGGGTGACTGTGATTAAGATCAATGTCACTGTTGCTCAAATGGAAATTCAGCTTCTACATAATAAATTGAGTTTGTTACTCTTTACAGGAAATTTGGTATATCAGGTAGCTTAAAGGAAGACGCAACTCGGGATTGCTACGCAGATGTCTGTGATCAAGGTCAATGTAACTGTTGCTATAAGTAGAATTGCAGTCTCTACATAATAACTTGAGTTTGCACCAAAATTATTATGTGGGTAGCTTATATTAAGAGGCAGCTTGGGATTGCTACAAAGGTGTCTGTGAACAAGATCAAAGTCAATGTTCCTTAAAAATGAAATTCAGTTTCATGTAATAACTTCAGTTTCCTTTGACCTATCGACACCAAACTTGCTGTGTGGGTAGCTTATATTACATGTATTAAGATACAGTTTGGGATTGCTACTTATATATCTTGGAGCAAGGTCAATGTCAATTGTTTACAATTTTCAGCTTCTACATAATAACTTCAGTACATTTTGACCTTTTGATACTTAACTGTGTGTAGCTTATATCAAACTACGGCCTGGCATTGATACTCGGGTATCTGTTTTTTTTTTGTTTTTTTTAACTAATAAGAATCCCTAAGGAAAGCCCAACACGGTTAAATTTAAAACGTCGAAGGCTCGGTTTGACTGAGTCTGTTCATGGACGGTCCTGTCAACCGTCCAAGTTTCTGTGTTGGTACAAATAACAGCATCAATTTTTCTTAACTTCCATATTTCATTTCCTATTCATGTCACATCAATTTTTAGTGTATGAAATAGATAAATATAGAATCCCTAAAGAAAGCCCAACACGGCAAAATTGAAAACATTTTCGCATTGTGGTGTTTGTTGTTTTTCACCTTAAAATGTTGAATTCTACTTAATTCTGGAAACAAAGTGATCCCTCGGAAGCATTAATCACAACAAAATAACATAAGAATTGCAGACTCGGTTTGATTGAGTCTGTACATGAGTGATAATGAATAAGTGCAACATCACCCACGCCCCCTAGCACCGGCTTGAGCGGTACTCAATTCTCAACACTTTATAGTGTTGGCATCAATGATCCCGAAGGACCAGAAAATATAACAACACTGAAGCCGGTTATAGGAGGCATGGACGGTAATTTGCACTTTTCATTACCGTCCATGAACAGGCTCAATCAAATCGTCCCTGCATTATTCTGTCGTTTTGTGTACCCTTTAGGGATTCTGTTTTTCTCTATTTCAATAAGTGTGCCAGTCGACAAAAGAATTATCTTATTATTTACAGATTTTTTTAATAAATCATGTTTAATTTTTCGCGCTTTAGCATTATTCAAATTTATTTCGTGTCAAATTATTAAAAAAACTTACTGGATAATTCCAATCTCCCCAGTCGTAACATCTCGATCCTATTTGTATGTAAGTGTGTCTGATGCCATACGGAATGTCCCTTTTTCCGCTGCTTGGGCAGTCCTTGCTGTTGCTTGAGGAAAGAAAGGATGTCGATGAACTCAGTGGACAGGAGTAAACGTAAAAGTGTGTAGCCTCAGCAACACCTGAAATTATTGTCATTGAAATTGATTATGGACTTAAACAACAGAAGTCCTTTACAATTCTTGACCAAATTTTCCTAAACATTGAAACCTTTTCAATTACAGTTTAGGTTCAGGCTAGGAAACACCAACAATTTGTTGTGTCTGGTAATTCTGTAAAAGGCAAGGCAACTACCTTGTCTTATATTGAAGGTGTTACACACAGGAACCAAAGAAAATCTTATAGCTGTTATGGTTCATGCGCAGACTTAGCATTATGGTTCATGCTCAGACTTAGCATCATGATATAGTTGTAAAAAGTTGCCCCGTACTTCACTTCAGTGTTGTTATATTTTCTGGTCCTTCGGGATCATTGATGCAAGCACTATAAAGTGTTGAGAATTGAGTACCGCTCAAGCCGGTGCTAGGGGGCGTGAGGGATGTTGCACTTATTCATTATCCCTCATGTACAGACTCAATCAAACCGAGTCTGCAATTCTTATGTTATTTTGTTGTGATTAATGCTTCCGAGGGATCACTTTGTTTCCAGAATTTTTTAAGAAAATGACTAACGGACAGAAACATGGTGTAAAGAACAGGTTGTGTTTCAATTCTCCTTAACGCAATTATATGTCTGGCGCATGAAGAAACAGAAATATGTTCTATACCCGAATGTGTCAACAAACACCATACACTGTTACTTAGCTAGGTTTCGGAAATTACTGATAAATATGTAAAGTAACTTTCATTTTTTTTCGTACGGTCACATACGGCTCTTTTTTCTAGATTAAACCTGTAATTGTTTAGGGTAGGGAATGTCCAACGTATGCCGTGATGGACGATGACGCAGACAAAACCCTGTGTAACGGAAGCCTTATCCAATATATCACTAGACCAGTCATTTTCCAGATACCGACCGTGAATTAAACCTGGAATGCAGTACACGGGAAGGAAAAATTCTGAAAACAAAGTGATCCCTCGGAAGCATTTATGACAACAAAATAACATAAGAATTGCAGACTCGGTTTGATTGAGTCTGTACATGAGGGATAATGAATAAACGCAACATCCCTCACGCCCCCCAGCACCGGCTTGAGCGGTACTCAATTCTCAAAATATGAAAAACAAGATCAACAAGGAAAGGCGGCGTTCAATGCACTTGACACCTGCTGTTGACACCTGAAGTAGCCTAATTAATTTGGCGTGAACGGTTTGACCCATTTTACAGATTTTTTTTTCTTACTGTCAAACCGTTACGCCTAATTTTAACTGTCATTTTTACTCACGGAAAATCTACCGGCAACACTATCGATAGTTTGGACAGATTTTTACTGCTTAAACCTGAAAGTAACTTCAATGTCCTCTACAGATCAATAGAATATAAATTCTTGAACTAACTTCTCCTAAAAAAATATTAGATTGTACCTGTCTTAACGCATACATGCGATTTATTTCAAATTTGTACTGTCTACTCTATCTTTGGCGGACATGTTATGACGTCATCGTAAAAAATCGATTCCGTGAAAGCTGGTAGAAGCTACCAGTGTGTCTAGCAGGTAAGTCTTAATGTTCGTCTTCTGCCTTGCTTCGTCGGGCCCTTGTAGGAGATTTTCTTGTTGCTCTGTCTTCCTTTAGGACATTGAGTACTTTTGTTATGGTCATTGGGTTTACTTTTATATGTTTCTACATGATCATTTTAGTGTTTTACTTATTTAACCTTTTGTAACCATGACAACTGTTAGAATTTCACTTGGCGGGGATTCATTTTATTTACACTGTCTCGTTTATAGGAACATGGTGGGGCTAAGAGCGAGGTTTGGTGCACCATTAACCGGTTTAAACTCCCCAGCAGTCATTATTATGCTGCTGACCGTTCCAAAGGCGGCGCCCCACTGTGTTCCTCAGATGTAATGTCTATGTTGTTTCATACTGTTTTGGTGACACTTTTGCTTGTGTCCCTTGTTGTTTTCTCGTCTACGGTAAGTATCTTCCCCATTGCCTCTAGTTTTTATTTCTTTGATTAACCCCCCCCCCCCCCTTCCCCCGGTCTCCTGTCCCCTTCCCCTTTGTGGGCCTATTATTATTTTCTTTGAATTCCTAATCAGTTACAAATTATTTATCATTTAATGATTAACGTGTCGTTGCCCTGTCCTTTTTATGTTTGGGGTCCGCCTGGGCTCCTTGCCATTGGTTCTTGTTGCTGGGTCATATGGGGGTTGCGTTCATTGAACGCCGCCTTTCCTTGTTGATCTTGTTTTTCATATTTTACGCATGAAGATTAAATTAAAAAAAATATCGGGGGAAATAAATCTATTCATTATTTTTTTTTATAAATGTGTGCATTATTTAATACTATTGAAAAGTATCAATGTATTTAACCTAAAATGCAATGGTAGCAAATAGGCTCCGTACATGTACTTTTGTTTAATATTTTTTAAATATTTTAGTACATGTACTCAACATTTATCAATAGGTCTTTTGCGTTCTTGTTTACTGCTAATGACTGCCAAATGTCACTCTTGGATAAAATACTGACTTCATTTATACATGCATATTTATACGACAATTAAGAACGTAAAAGAAATATTGAAGGAAACTATTTGAAATACACTTCAAATTATTCAGTATTTGTACAAATATTTTAAGAGTTCTTTTTCACCGATTGCCGATATATAATACCATATTAAACTTACTGATTAAGTTAAATGTCTTCTTGACATACTTTATTAATTTACTAAAAAGGAACTTTATTATCATCCAGTCATATGCTGTGTAACTATAAGGGAAGGGTCACGTATTTTAATTGAAATAAATTTTATGTAGAGGATATTAAAAAAAGTCATTGAGAAGATCAGAATTTTCAAATGAACAGATTAAGAGACTTATACATATATAAGGTGTATGTCTTGTTGTTTCATACTGTTTTGGTGACACTTTTGTTTGTGTCCCTTGTTGTTTTCTTGTCTATGGTAAGTATCTTCCCTTTGCCCCTAGTTTTATTTCTTTCTTTCGCCCCCTCCCCTTTCCCCGAATTTCCTTTCCCCTTCCCCTGTGCCCGTTTACTTAGTGGTCCTATTAATCATTCATTTATATATTTTCTTTGATTTTCTTCTCAGTTTACATTTTAAATGATAAGCCTGACCGTGCTCTCCTTGCGCCCTGTCCCATTTTTGTTTAGGATCCTCCTGGGCTCCTTGCCAATGGTTCTTGTTCCTGGGTCGTGTGGGGGTTGCGTTCATTGAACGCCGCCTTTCCTTGTTCATCTTGTTTATCATATTGTATACATGTATACCGAACCGTAACAAACAGATAATGATTATCAATACAAGGTTCGGCAAGCAAGCAAAGAAATGTAAAGAAAACAGAAAAAAACTTATCCACATATCCACCCTAAAAAAAACACAAAAAAACGCCTGAAACTGCAAATTCGAAACATAAATACACATGAGTGCCAAATACGGCTCTGGTAGGTGCAAGTGCTCCCTTTCGCCGGTTTAAACAGAATTGATCACTGAAACATAATAATGTTGAAATTTTTTATCAACACCCACAGATGTGTACAAAATACGGCGGTAATCATGGAACTTTCAATGTGACACATTCAAGCTGCCGTACAATGAAAAGCGAGAACTAGATAACATGGAATTTTAAATGGGTCAGAAGTTTTGGTGTCCTTTTGCGACAGTCGTTCTACATGTAACAATTCTCCCATCTGTCTTACATTGTTATGATATTCTACGTCTAAATAAGGGTCACTAAATTTCCGCTTGCTGCGTTTTTATCATAAACCCCGTCATATCTGTGCGACAATTGCATTTTACTGAGGACTGTTTGAAATTCCATTTTATAGTTTGAAATTTTAAGATTTTTTTCTCAGAATTTAAAGTTATTTTTGGTTGTTTTGAACTTCTTCCCCTACACAACTGTCCTCAATTTTTTTTAAAGATAATAAACTAGAAACTGATATGGAGTTTAATATACATTGAAATTCTTCTTTGCTTCATCATGTATAGTATAATTATAATTCATTAATATGTACCTACAATTACATTGTATTTTCATATGTGCGAAATCATGGCAGGGTTATAAAATAAAAAGGCAGTTCAGAAATTTCACCTAATGATCACAGATGTTAAAAAATCCGACTTTACAATTTCTAATTTGACAATTTAAATGGACTTTTAAAATGCAGTATGATCTGACGTCGGACATCATAAACTATTTAATTTCTAAGTAAGGTTATCAGAATTTCCTTTTCACATTTTATTTTCAATGCTGAAATATTCGTGTGGGAATAAAAGAGTTATTCCTGCAATAATTCATATAAATAACTTAAACAAATTGTATAATAAAGCTTGACAAATACAATCGATTGCCGCCAATACCTGTGTTACACCATGGAAATTTTACAGTTTTACCATGTCACCGCTTGCGTCATTTTCCAATATGGCCGCTTCCAATAATTTTCAACGATTTAAAAAGTTAAAGTGGAATATTTAGACTTGTGTTCGACTTTGAAGTATGATAACTTGGAACCTTGCATAAAAAACGGTTCTCTTTCACACGGTGCACATCCATATCGGTACCCTCTTTGCGAAATCTGCTGAAACGGCACCCTCTTTGCACATGCACAGGCCACTCTCTGCTAAAAACAAACCAGCAATGGATAACAATCCAGTAAAATTTCAATATAAGGAAAGAAGGTATGCCACGTAGAAAAGATGTATACCACGGAACACTAGAATGTTTTATCTATGTGCTGATTTGTCATGTGCCCGTTTTTCATGTACTACAACTTCACAATAAGCTACAAAAAATCGACATGTCTTGCTTCGCCCATCACCTCGACATACATTTCGGGCTGAAATGAACCTGCGGCTTTTTTGTACTTCAGAATTTTGTACTTCACAACAGCAGGTGTCAAGTGCCGTGTGGCAGCCGTAAAAAGTTGCCCCGTGCTTCACTTCAGTGTTGTTATATTTTCTGGTCCTTCGGGATCATTGGTGCCAACACTATAGAGTGTT